AGTACTTGGGATACCTTGGAACTCGATCACGGACAAATTTTCACTGTGCGTAAACGTACAACGTGAAGAAATCATCAGCAAACGCACAATCGCACAACAAATTGCATCCGTTTACGATCCATTTGGATGGTTCATCCCACTTTTCGTCAAAGCAAAGCATTTTCAACAATTTCTCTGGAAACATCACTACGATTGGGACGAACCTCTGAACGAAAGGCACAGGCAACAATGGGAAAATATCGTCCAAGAAATAGCAGAATTCCGCAAGGAGTTGCCAAGGAAAATTACACAGGATGACATGAAGTCGTATACACTGGTCACATATTCCGATGCCAGCGCGATCGCCATGACAGCGTGCACCTATCTAAGTACGGAGGACACATCTCACTTTCTTATGGCAAAATCAAAAATATCAAATGCGAAGCATCCAACCACAATACCTAAAATGGAACTGAATGCCATAGCAATCGGTGTACGCCTAACATTTAACGTGTTTCTGAGCATGAAATCCTCACTGAACATTTCAAAGATCGTGTTCTTAACGGATTCCGAGATAGCATTGAAATGGCTTCAAAGCAAACCAAATCGGGAAAGAACAGGAGCATACGTAAAAAACCGGATCAGAGAAGTTCGACAAATCACACAATCCCTTCTTGAAGAAGGGATTGAAGTCAAGTACGGCTACATTGACACAAAGTGGAATCCAGCGGACATAGGAACGAGAGGAACCTCGACTCAGGAATTTTCATCACATATCTGGTGGAGCGGATATTCACAAAATACATTGAAAGAAAGATTTACATCCACCTTATTCTGCCTTCCAGACGATCCAGAACAGGAAGATGAAGTGGAAGACTATCCACCTTCTGCACAAGTGAATGCCACCAAAATGGAGCAGACTCAAATTGAGGATATTCTTGACTTATCCAGATATAGCAGCAAGTCAAAGTCCTTGAGGATTCTAGCCTACGTCATTCGATTCTTGAAAAGAATCAGTATTCAAATCAAGGAACCACTTCGGAACAAATTACAACGTGTATTACCTGGTAGCCACGAACGCCATGCAAAACGACGCTTAACTGCTTCAGACATCAAAGACGCTCACATCGTGCTGATACGAAATCACCAAACAGTGCACCTACATTCACGCTACAAGAAGGAACTACTAAAGAATCTCAATGTGAAACAAGATCAGGAACACTTGTACAGAGCATACGGTCGTCTCAACAAATCAGATCTAGACAGCATGGCAAGGAATCCCATCCTAATTGTGCCCAATACAGAGTTAGCACGCCTCATTGTACTGGAAGCACATGGGAAGTACCATAATAACACCGGACATACCATGGGAGAAGTACGACAACAATACTGGATACCAAGACTGCGGGAACAAGTAAAAAGATGCATACGCTCATGCGTTCCTTGCCAAAAGTTCAATAATCTACCCTACCGGTATCCAGAAATGACAGATCTTCCTGAAAAACGAGTAACAAGGTCCTGGCCGTTCAAAAACATTGGACTAGACTACTTCGGTCCCATTACAGTCATTGACAGCGCAGGAAGCAGCACTGAAGTGTATGGATGCATATTCACGTGCTGCGTTACTCGCCTTATACATCTAGAAGTCGTGACAGATGGAACAACAGAGAAATTTCTAAACGCATTCCGCCGATTCGTAGCTCGCCGAGGTAAACCTCGATCAGTTACATGTGATAATGCACCAACGTTCATCCTGGGAAGTCACATTTTAAACGAGTCGCTTGAGACAGATATCGAGGAGGACGAACTATCTCGCAACATGAGCAACCAAGTAATCGAATGGAAACATATAACACCGTACTCACCGTGGAAAGGCGGATTTTATGAACGCCTCATTAAGTCAGTAAAAGAAGCTCTGATAAAAGCGACAGGAAAACGCACAATGACACTAGAGCAACTAATCACCTCATTGGTTGAGATTGAAGGATGTCTCAATAGTAGACCTCTTACTTACCAAGAAAGCGACATTAAGGACAGTATGACACCCTTACGACCTATCGACTTCATACAAAACGAGATGAATGTCACCCTTCCACTGAATGATCCGAAGGAGGAACACACGGACCCAACGTACCTACCAGCGGTTGAGAGAATACGTTTAGAAACACGTCTTCAAGCACAAAAGGCACTACGTTCATCTTGCGCAATAACAGAGCGCTTTTGGGAATTATGGAGAAACCAATATCTCACCGCTCTTCGTGAACAACATCGAAGGAACATAAACGACAAGCGAGGAAGTAGAAAGGACGTACAAGAAGGAGAGGTAGTACTTCTAAGCGAACCAAATCAGAAGAGGAGCAACTGGAAGCTGGCGCGCATCTCCAAAACAGTTCCTAGCAGTGATGGAGCAATAAGAGAAGTAGAAGTCTACTGCAACAAAAGAACCCTTCGACGCCCAGTAAATCAACTTGTACCATTGGAGCTAGGAGAAAACCCTACGCTACCAAGTCAAACCTCGGAGAATCCACCACCAAAACCTCAAGAAAATGGAAAAGGCTACAATCTACGTCCTAGAAGAAGAGTACAACACACTGAAGATTACCCACAAAGCATAAATACTGTTAATTGTCTCACATCGCAACATACATCGAGAACATGGCCAGCATCACTTTACTTGAAGATGGCCTTAACCTTGGTTACACTGTCAATCGTAAGTGGACAAAAACCGAGCATGCAACGAAGTATCGACACATCATCAGCGAGGGCAGACTATACAATCGAATGTAGAAAACATGGAGTATTTCTTCATGCACCAGAATCACACGGCTATGAATTATGTGCAAACAGCTACTGTATAGTGGAAAAAACCCCTCCGATCAACAGGCTTCTAAGGTTACCACCGGAAGAACTAATTCACGATTTTGATATACGCTGGAAACTGAAGACGGCGAACTCATATACAGTCGTAGAAACACATTGTCCGGCACAATCCTTCTGTGCCGCTATCGACTGCACTATATGTTCGGCAAATATACTGAATCCAGAGTGCTGGCCACTCGCAGCAATAATAGGCCTGGGTATAACTCTGTACTTCTTAGTGGCGATATGTTATACAATTTGTTATGTACCGGTGACCCTTGGTCGACCCCTTCGCATTATATTGCAAGGGACTCGAAAAATAATACACATAGCCATAGGAGTCATTGTCACATACATGGGCCTATTAGTCACAATCTTCTATAAAGGACCACGACAACGTCCTTCGAGAATTATGGAAGCACTAGCAGTTCTAACATTAGCTTGCGGATCATTGGCGTGCCAAGAAGTGAATATTCTTCCACATCAAATTCAGCACTGCCGAACCGCTGCAGGACGGAGCATTTGTAACATCGAAAGTACAACCATAGTCAAAGTAAACCCATTCAAAAGAGATGGATGTCTGACCTTCAAGAAAAACAACTCAACATTCACGAAGGCAAGACTTCGTTGGGAAGGATTACGACTACTTTGCAACCGAGAGCCTCTACTGTATACAAGGAATGTGATTCAAAAGATTGTCGATAGCAAACGATGTTCAAGTAAAGGATCATGCACAAAAAACAAATGCGCAGACATAAACGCAACGAGTTTACTACCCGAATTAGAGATCGGCAACAAGTATCCAGGTATCACATATTGCATGGAGTCATGCGGCGGACCAGGCTGCGGTTGCTTCCACTGGGATTCTGGCTGCTTACTCTACAGGATATATGCAGTTCCGAAAGACGATACAGTATACGAATTATACAAGTGCATCAGATGGGAGGAGGAAGTGAAACTTCGTTTTGAATTCAGCGAAGGGACAAAACTCCAAACCTATGTTGTGGGACTTCGACCAAATATTCCAACACGCATCCGAAATTTCGAATTGACGTTAAGCGTACTGTCCATCCCACCAATTTCAGCTCTTGAGCACGTTTTCATACGATCGAAGAACCATACAGCTATTTGGGATAAGGAAAAATACCCTATCCTTGACTGCCCATCACTCGGACATGCTCAATTACTACAGTGCAATATGCGAGCTGACTGTGCGTGTTCACCGGCTGAAAACCAAGTGGTATGTAGATGTGAAGAAGACGATGTCGGGAAAGCATTTTTGAATATAGAACAAGTATTACCGCTTATTCATCAACAAGTGCATTTCTCACAGCATCCCCATCACGCCGTCATAGCGAAGGTGGAACAGGACGTAACAGCGGAGATTACACTTAATTTGAAAGAAGCAGTTACTGACGTGAGAACGGAAAATGAGGACGACATCTGTTTCATTGGAAATACTGATCTCACTGGATGCTACCAATGCAACAAAGGAGCTAGAGCACTAGTGATATGTAAATCAACTTTCAACAATGTGTCTGCTGAAGTCGAATGTGGCAAGGACAGTTTTACAATCCCTTGCTCTCCTTCTGGACAAAAATCTCAACTCAACTTCCTTTTCGACTCAGCAAGAGTCCATATCCTATGCTCTGTGAGATGTGGATTGACTCCAAAACAGTTTGAAGTAAGCGGTGTATTAAAATATGTGCATAACATTCAGGGAGGAGTAAAATACTTAGAGCAACATCATAATATAACCTCTTTCAGTATTTTCTCCCTCGACATTTTTTCTCAAATCCACTGGCCTGACATCAACCACATAGTGGACATCTACTTGCAGTGGTATAAAACCTTGATAATAACCATTGCGATAGTGGCAGGAGCACTTTTTTTGAGCTACATATATCTTTCAACCGTATGCCGTAAAATTATCGTATGGTGCATAAAAAGCATATGGAAGCTCATAAAATTTGAATACATTCTGCTCCAGTTATTCTTAAAATACATTCTCAAGTTGATCTTCTTTCGAAAACATAGAGCAACTGAAAAGAAGTCAGAGAAAATCCTCTGAAAGCATGCAAACGCGCATTCAAATTTTAAAAGAAAACACACACGCATTCAACCTTTCTTACTATTTACATCACCTAAACCTTTTCAGAAAGATGTCCTCGTCAGAACGGTACGACGAATTCACCAGGAAACGTCAAGCCGAAGAACGAAAACTGATCGAAGAAATCAGATACAAACGTTCGTGCATCAAGCTAGCAACCACGTTCCCGTCTGAAGAAGACATCCAAAAAACAATATGTAGATTTGTTAACTCAATTGTATATATTGTATCATCCAACACTCTCTCTGAGGAATTCGCTGAAATACGCGGATCTCGAGCCAGACTTTTCGCAAGCTTGGACGCGGCGCTCTACAAGAGCCGTCTACAAAACGTGCATCTACAAGTTCGAAACACCTTGGACAGGATTCAAAGCGCATTTGAAGCATTATCTATGGCTTACGAAGTCTACGGACTTCTCGTTCTGTCAGACGAGTCACTCGCGATTTCTCGCGTGTGTTTTTACGATAAGAGGGAGCAAGGTGTGACCTTAGATCCAGCATTCACATCGGATTTCGTTCGCAAAGAGGTGGACTTCCTCACGGAATTAGAGCATCAAATTCAAAGCGAAATAAGAGATGCGGGATTCCAAGAAGAAAGCGAAACCCATGAAAGCGCATGGAACCAGGTCAAGGAACTACTCATCACTATATATAAAGATATAGGAGAGCTGAAACAGAAGACCATCAGTCAAGACGAAACAATTAAGAGCATCTCAGAACGGATTGATTCCCTCTGTACCGCCAAGGCAACTCGTGAACAGGAACCTGACTTGGACTCTAGGGTTCGATCGGAAAAGGAGCAAAACGAACACATAAAGAGAGAGAGACGAGCATCTTCAGAGCACGAAAATGAGTCTCTCCACGACAACGAAACATCCGAAACCAAAGGAAAGGAGATAGAACCAGAAGAAGATCTAGAGCTCATGGACGATAACGATTTCGAACTTGATAACGAACCCGAGGACCTGGAGCTGAGAAGACCCACAGGTTATCCCGGCCACTTCCAAAGGCTTGAACTCGAAGAACGCATGACAGAACTGTGGGCATTCCTGAGGAGCCATCGAGAAGTCCCTGAGCGGAAATTTCGTGAAATCGACATAATGAGGGAGCAGGACTGCTATCTCATCTGCTCTTTCTGCTTAGCTAAGGGACAGCACTACTCAGATAGTTGTCCAGTATACACCAGCGTAGAA